GACAGTACGATGCCAAGCAGGTCAGACAAGACATGCTGGCTTTGTTTCTTCTGGTCCCACAACAGAAATCACAGGCAATGTCCGTTGGTCCTGCAGGAGCAAGAGGAGAAGCTGGACGGGGCTGTTGGGTTACCGTCCTCTTCAGCTTCTCTACAACCTACAGTGATCAAATAAAAGCGGTCAAAAATTTGGCACAACAAACAGAATCAAACTAGAATGGAAAGAGGATGAAGTCAGCTAAAGTATCTAAATTGTGTATTTTCTTTAAAACTGTAGAAAATGCAATGGAAAAAAAGACAACATAATATGTTGTTGTATACAGAATAGCTGGCTATGAAAATAATGTAGTGTATGAAAATATTTTAGGAGTAACAACAGTGGGTGTGGTAAACACCTACAAAAAATCTAATGCCATGCCAAAATAAATAAGAAATTATACTCCTGGGACGTTATTAGACACAGAATCAGAATGGAAAAAAGACCAATTTCAATGTGGCATGGTTATTCGTGCCAGACATGCTGGTGTCCGTCTTTCAGAAACTGCTAATCTTCTGGGACTGATACCCACACACAATGCCAGGTTACTGGTGTAGGTGTAATCAATCACTTGTATTTATAAAGCACTTTAAGACAACCACAGCTGACACAAAGTGCTGTACATTGGAACCAAAAAATAAAACTGCATAAGATATAAATAAAAGAAAGAAAAAATAAAATAATGAATTAAATAACTAATTTAATTTCAACAGAAAACTAAGTCTCACTGAGGTTAAAAGCCAAAGAATAAAAGTGGGTTTTAAGATGTGATTTAAAAGTGGACAGTGAAGGGGCCTCTCTAACGTGCCAGGGCAAAGTATTCCATAATTTTGGACCCACGATAGAGAAGGCCCTGGCCCCTCTGAGCTTCCTCCTGGATCTCGGTACCTCCAGGAGCAGCTGGTCAGCTGACCTGAGAGACTGACAGGGTGTGTGGAGATAAAGAAGCTCAGAGAGGTAAGGCAGGGCAAGACTGTGAAGGCATTTAAAAACAAACATGAGAATTTTAAAATTAGACACAGGCAGCCAGTGCAGTGAGGCTAGGACAGGGGTTATATGCTCTCTTTTACAAGTTCCTGTTAGGAGTCGTGCAGCCGCATTTTGAACCAGCTGCAGACGTGAGAGCAATGACTGACTGACCCCCACATAAAGTGTGTTACAGTAGTCCAGGCGGGAAGAAATAAAAGCATGGATCACTGTTTCAAGGTGCTGCCTCGAAAGAAAAGATTTTACTCTTGCCAGTCGCCTTAAATGATAAAAACTGGACTTCACCACTGCTCTGATTTGGTTGTCCAATTTAAAATCACTGTCCAACCAAGGTCAGTAACAACAGGTTTAAAATAAAACTACAGAGGAGGACTCGCAGGGACCACTGGGTCCAAACACCAACAACTCTGTTTTCTTTTCATTAAACTTTTAAAGGTTTAGAGCCAACCAAGCTCTAATGTCATCCAGGCATGTCATGAGAAGTTTTATGGAGATGCCACCTTTCTGCTTCAGTGGCAAATAAATTTGGCAGCCAACTGCATAACAATGAAATGTGATTTTCTCTAAAACCTTGTGAAGTAAAGGCAGCTTGGAAATAGGCCTATAGTTTGCTAAAGCTGTGCGATCAAGGCCTGGTTTCTTAAGCAGTGGCTGCACTACTGCATGTTTGAAATTTGCAGTAACCACACCAGAATACAGACTGCTGTTAATAATTAATAACGTAATGGTGTTGGGGATATTTTCTTGACGTGTCCTTTAGTAACAGATGAGCTTATCTGAGAGATGCTGATCATGGCACAAAGATGAAACCTCACCTCAACGACAAATCTGCAGCAACTGCGTGATACTGTCACGAAACGTTGAACCAAAAACACTGAGGAATGTTTCCAGCACCTTGCTGAGTCTGTGCCACGAAGAATTAAAGCATGTCTGAAGAAAGGAATGGGTCAAACACGGCACTAACCACGTGACCGGTAGGCGTAAATGTGTATTTAATTAACAAAACAAACAAATAAACGTACATTAATTAACTCGGATTTTTTTTTTTCTTTTTTTCCAAGCAGCACCGTGGATACGTCACCTCAGCCAGCACGTTGTTCCTCCCGAGGACAGGCCTTGGACTGAAGGTCTGCCTACACTGAGGACAGCTGTACGTTCCCTTTTCATTTT